AATGTGCCAAAATGCAAGGTTCTATCCCTACGGCACAGGGGGTGACTTTCATATTTCCTCGGAAATGAACAACTGCCACACGCCACAAGGGAGAAGGACCTGGGTATCATCATTCAAGAAAACTTAAGCTGCTCACACAACTGCACCAAGGTGTCCAACGCAGCTGTACAGAATGTCGGTTTGCTTAAGCGGGTCTTCGGCCGGTTCGAGTCAGCTTTATTCCCCCGCCTACTATCAGCAGACATTCAACCACTCACAGAATACGCTATCCAGGCCTGGAATCCATGGCTACAACTTAATTGCAAAATGCTGGAGCGTCCACAAAAGATGACTACCAAGTTGGTCAGGGGGTTGAACCGGTTTTCATTCGCAGAGAGACTGAAGTCACTGCGGTTATATTCCAATCACTACCGGCGCATCAGAGGAGATATGATTATGGTATACCAAATAATGCAAAACCCAAGCCATCCGTGTCGCCCGCTTCTGAAGTTATCACCCAACGTTCATCTTAGAGGACATCCATTCAAACTAGTGGTCTCAAAATACCGCTTGGAATGCCGGCGTCAGTCATTTACAGTCAGAGTGTGTTCGATATGGAACTCTCTACCATCCTACGTCGTCTGTGCTCCAAGCATTGAATCTTTCAAACTGAGACCTCGATGAAACATTAGCACACCTTACATTCCAAAATAAGTGAAGCTGCGTGCAGCAGTGGAAGAAGCACGTACCACGTGACATTTTACACAAGGAATTGTATGTATCACTGTTTTTTAAACACCACACGAACCTATGTATGGAACGAGAAAAGCATGAGCTTGTAAGTTATTCCCATAATAAATCTTTGAATCTCAGAGTGTAATTCCGCTTTCGTTAAAGGTTTATGTGGTACGGTTAATGATTATTCAGTTTCAATAGAAGTAATCTGGCAGCCAGCAGACCAGCTCGATTGCTCGTCAAATACTCCGATGAGCGAATAGACCATTGGTTCTTCTTGAATAACGTGTCCTGTTTCATTGTTTCACCAACCAAGATCCGCGGGTGTCCGGTGTTGAGCGTCACTCGGAATCATCGATGTCTACTGTCTGTTATAGGTTGCCTCCATTTCATCACCAATTTGGATCCACAATTTCTCATGTGGCAGGCGGCTCTGCCGTCACCCGGCTCAGTACCACATCTAATCTATTGAAGCTTTATGTGGTCCACCACTCCAACTTTCAGGATCATAGTTGCCGTTTTCCTCACAACAGAAACACGCTCACGTTCTCTCGCTCGCTCAATGCACTCACACTAGAATGATGCACTCACCATCCACGACAACATTTGCGGACTGAACCGCAATATTGATTCTGTACACTATTTTCTCAATTATTCTTCTCCGCTCGCCTTTTTTGACCGAAACACAAATCTCCCCCTCGTCATACACAACCCACCTTCAATTACCGGACTACACTCTCCATCCCTTCTTTCTACCGAAAGCTGGTGTCTGTGCCTTTATTCATCACCCGCAGGATCCCAAATCTTGACTTTTCGAAGCGTGAATTTCAGCCGATGCGACTGAAGCTCCCACTTCCTTCCTTTAATCATTACTTTTATGTTCTACATCGTTTTCCCAAAAGTAGTAACTCTTCCATCTTTGATTTTCTATCTTAGAACACTGAAAACTTGCTTGCAACCGACCCTAAAATGCCATGTTACCATCTTGGTAGATTATAACTTCCACAATCAGGACTGGTTGACACATTCATTTGATGCTTCTTCTTTGGGGCGCGAAGCCGGACATTTCCTTTTGGTAGGCAACCTGAGTCAACTTGTTGACCTCCCAACACGTGTCCCTGATCGAGATGGCGATCATGCCACACCCTTGATCTAATTCTATCTTCGGTCCCTTCATTCTTCTTATGTATTGGTACACTCTCTCCTCTTGGCTCATCGAATCACTGTATTGTTGCTTGTCCTATCGAGTTTTCAAGCGCCGAGCCATCAACCACCTCGAGACACACATTCTAGCGCTACAACTAAGCCGACTGTGACGGTTTCCTTGACTTCTTAGCTGCTTATCCCTGGAACGACGACTGTTTCTCGTTGGATATTTCCAAATGTTTCCAACTTCACCGACATTGTTCATTCAAGATATGCATCTTTTAATTCCACACATATCCAAACCCGGAAAACCGGAATCCCCTGATTGGTTTATCCATGCATGTGACCGTGCTGTACGCCTAAAACGTTCAGCCTCCCGCCGCTAGCCTACTCTCCGCTCCCAACATCGCTTCGTGCAATCAAGGAACAGGTGCTTGACGACCATTCAAAGAACCAAAGAATGCTTCGCTCGCCGTGAAGCCGAAAACTTGGTCTCGTCCATCACCGGTAGCCGGACATTTTGGGCGCCCTTTCCAAAGCAATTTCCGTAATTTCTGCTCTTCCAACTTCCCCCTATCTGTATTTCCTCCGGTGATCTTGTATGTCATTCAAAAGAGAAAGCTGTTTTGCATCCCAATTAGCCTCCAATTCCACCTTATCCCATTTTACTACATCTCCACATTCTTCCTTCTTCACTGGCAACCCTTTTCTATCTCATTAGCACTAGGAAAATCCGTGCCTCCAAAAGCCTCCGTATGGTCGGAGGTGGATGTCTAGGGTTGTGACTGGTCACCATACCCTTGCACCTCGCGAAATGCTCCCATACGACCAAGCGTCTCATACAGCCTCTAATGAAGCCCTACCCACTGCCTTCTCGCGGCGGAGGTGTTTTCCCACCAAAGTGAGAGGACGAAAAACCAACATCCGGGGCTATAAACGGGTTGGTAGACCACTGGTAGTCCACCTGGGGGAGTTGGCAGAAAAACCTGATTCCAAACCAACCAAGAAAAGGCGCACGAACTACACACACCTACCCGGTTTTGGCAGTGGTCACTGGTTCGATCGGGCGTCTAGGTGTATCGGGCACCTTGGACGTTTGACTCCATCCGAAGGGCATATGATACGATGAACTGAATGCCAGTTGCGGTTTTCGCACACCACCCCGCTGTTTGCTGGTCAGGTTCTGGCTAGCAAAAGCCTCCGTTTGTTCCCCAAGAAAATTCACCTGCCTTGACTTGGGTAACCAAGCGGTATTTCGCCCATATGCAAATCATGGAACGTCTTTCGTTTTCATGAAGATTATTGTACCATGATTTACTTTAAACAGTCTGACGTCAGACGGGTGTGGGATATATACAGAACAATTTTTCTTCAACAACTCATAATTCCAACAACTGGAGATTGCTAATGCGAGGGAAGAAGATAACACACAAAGAAACAAGAAACGTACGGAAAAAAGCAATGCACTTCATTTGCAATTCTTACATCGCCTGAAAACCCGTTTTGCGGGCGTGTGAGCACTAATTCCCCAAATCCGATGGAATCGAGCTATTTGTTTAACTATCCTTTTCCACAACGTGGCAAAAACACACTTTTGCATCACACCCATCCAATGTGACGACTGTCACTAATTGGCTAAATGAAATCGATAAAGAGCGGTAAAGGAGAAGTCAGAGAATCATCAACAGGACGTTTACCTGTAACTCGATCAGTTTACTACGCGCAGCCTTGAGGTCCTCATCTGCCTTCAATCGGGCTGCAGCTTCAGAATCTCGCTGCTTCTCCAAGTCGGACAGCGAGGCTAAACGCGCGTGGGCTTCATCCAATTCCCGTTGCAAGGTATTCTCTAGATTAATCCGCTCCTGACGCTCGGCAACCAACTGCTGCTGATGGAACTGATTGTCACTCTTTAGACGATCGTCCAAATGTTCACGGGCCTCCCTATTCAAATAAAAATGACAGAGCAGAACAAATACCGCATGTTAATTCTGTGTACCAAAGGTCGAACGTAAATGTGAAAAAAATTAGGGTGATGACACAGTAAAATGTGGAAAAAGTTACACATAAAGTAGAGATAACACGCCTATGCGGCAGGTATTGCTGGATGTTTCAGTACCGAATACGAAATGGAAGAACCCTTAACGCCCGCCTACAGCCCATTAGAGGTCGACTTCTCGTGGAACAGATCATTCACTCTTCGGAAGGGCTCCTACGCCCAAACTGCCAAATGTACGCCGATGCCCAATCAATCTTCACAATAGGTAATTTGGAATCATTGTTTGCGAACAAGGATAAATGAGTTCGTTGCCAAGGGCCCGTACACAATGACATGATGAAAAAAGATATCGCTCCATAGTTTCACATCCGAAAGNACCCTTCTGTGTCCAAGATGCTGCAATTTATTGCCATATATTATTGAGCACGCGAACTGCAGTACGCAGATATACAACAGCAGCAAATTTACCCGGGATACAATAAACAAACTTGTGTTGTTTGGCTTAGTTATTCGAAATAAGTCCGCCATGAATCTAAATACTGCAACAAAACGCTTTGGGGAAAAAATGCACATTTTCACAGCTTCAGCTTTATATCGAATGAACAGAACTTCTTTACAACACTTTCGCTTCGAGAAAGCGGACACGTTACGTACCGCACACATGCCTTACACGGCGTTGCGATACATACTGCAGAACAGTGCCAAA